CTGCAGGCCCTGCGTCCCGGCGCCCGCTACCACCTCGCCGTCAGCGCCCTCCGGGGTGCCAACGAGAGCCAGTCGGCCCTCGCCCAGTTCACCACAGGTAGCTAGCTGGCTTTGCTGGGAGAACCAGCAGGGATTTTTAAGCCAACGGGCAAATGGCTTGCTGCAATCTGCAGATGGGCTGTCCTGCAACGAGTATGGGGTTTTGCATATCCGGAGCCAAGTCAAGGTTTTTATAGCATCTGGGATTTAGTGGTACCTGGTTTTTCCCCCAGCACGAGTGAGCTGGGGTTTAATCCAGTTTACTGGGAGGAAGCAGTGCAGTGAAAATACGATGGTTAAGATGCAGGTCGAAATGAAGATGCCTGCATGCAGGTGTCTCACACACCATCACGATCCTCATGCAGAGCAAGGCAGAGCAAATGATTCAGCTCACCCTAAAACACACATGCACAGCTCAAACTACCCTCTGGCCCCCCTCCACTAGTGCCTACATTTTTGTTTAGTCCCCAAACCTACAGTGCAATGGGTCTCCATGGGGAGATGCCCCACAAGGATGCTCACATAGTCCTCATGGCATCCCAAGTTACCCCAGCAACCAGGCAGATGACTCAAAACCACACATTTAGATGACAACCCCTGAGCAAACCTCACCCTGGCCACATCGTGCTGCAGCATCAAGGCTGAACCTGCTGCTGTCTGTGACACACGTCCCCACCAACTTCAATGCCCATTCAGACCCACAGCTTAGCTTAAGCCCACAACTAAAACTTCACAGCCCAGCAGTTTACACCCTTAATAGCACCTGTAGATCAATGTGCAATTCTCAAAAGCACCAAAATAGCAAGCGCAAGTCTGAATTTAAGATGATGCTTGCTCCTATTCAGCCTCAAGAGCCAAGGCAGATGCATCGCCTGAGGAATCAGCAGTCAAGCAGCTGAAAGCAGCCCAGTCAGAAATGTGGTTATCTTATTTTATATCTTCTCTGAATACCCTAACTGGTCGGTAAAACTTTAATTAATGTTAAGCCTGCAGATAGCTAACAGGTTTAATTTACCATGCCATAAAGGAGGAGGTAGAGCACGTATTTCAGTGCTGGTTTATGGTATATAAATTACTTGTCATGTACATTACTGGTGGATACTAGGCTCCTATTACAATAACTGCAGTGTGTGAATTGTGTGTGTATATATCTCTATAGATATATATTTCGGACTAGATGTTCACCCTGCCTGATTTGCTGCATTGTCCTTCCTCGCTTTATTTCTAAAAGGCAACACTAAAAATCCCCCGCCCTAAACCCAGATCCATCAAGGGGCAGTAATTATCCCCCATCTGCTGCCGCCCAGCCCCTGCCCACCACCAACCTGTCGCTCACCAGAGAGGTCTATCATGCAAACCAGAGCAGATCCAGTGCACAGTACTAATAAACAAATCCTTTGGGCAATGTCTGAGTGTGAATGAGCCTGTAAAGATGCGTGAGATGCTGAGATGCTAAGAGCAGTTCGATCCAACGCGTGACTGCTACAGAGCCTTTTTCTCTTACGCATGCTGCCTCAGTTTTCCTTACTCTAATAGAGGGGGAAAACACTTTTTCTTTTTCAAATGACATGCAATTAGCTCGTGAAGTGACTTACTGAGGGATGCTGTGAATGCCACAGAACTCGCGTCGGTCTTGTGGGTGGCATCTCCGGGTCTGTGCTGAGCAGGAGGTGAGAGCAGATGTCCCAGCCCTTCCTGTGGGGACATGCCCCAGGAAGAAGGAACTGCGTGTGGGGCCTGACGGACATCACACCCGGGTATCCCTCTGCTGCTGTTCAGCTGTGCCAAGGCTATGGGGTGCATTCCCAGTGCCCACTGGTGAGACGGAGCCTCTCTCCCTTGTGTCGTGCAGAGATTGATGCCCCCAAGAACCTACGGGTGGGCTCGCGAACACCCGCCAGCCTCGAGCTTGCCTGGGACAACAGCGAGGCCGAGGCACACAGCTACAGGGTGGTCTACAGCACTCTGGCCGGGGAGCACTACCATGAAGTCCTGGTGCCGCGGGACACTGGTCCCACCACCCGGGCCACCCTCGCAGGTATGCGTGCACCCATGCACCCTTCCTCCCCCTTCCTCCTCCTCCTTGCAGTCAGGTAGGGCAATGGAGAGCCCAACTCAGCACTGATGCTTGGTTGCCCTCATGCTGGCATACATTTGAGGCTGCTTTGGAGTTCACTAGTTGCTGGAGAGAAGGGTTTCTTTGGGATGAAACTCATTTTCCCCTCTGTCTAGGTCTGGATTTGGGCACTCCTTATCCACAAGCTGAGTGATGCACCACTGACCAATGCACATCAACGTAATGCACCTCTGAGCGATGCACCTCTGGCAAGGGTCTATCCAGGTCCCAAATAGAGCTGGCAAGGAGCAAAGTGAGAAATGGGGAGAGGAAGGCTTTCTAGGCTGATCTAGGGGAAAATACTATTTCGCCTTTTTTTTTTTTTTTCTGGCTTGCTGGGAAATAGCTGCGGACACCGATGTCCCATAGGCAGCAATGGCGATCCAGGCTGCCTGAGTTTGTTGCCTTTTTCCAAATCAGGCACAAAGCAGACCCGAATCCAGGGATGCTATTTTTAAGCAAGACCCTCCTGTGGTATGTTATTCAGACAAGCAACAGCCACCGGGGGCTGGAAACACCACCCACCTCCCATTGCCAGGAAAGACTCAAACACCCATTGCAGCAACACCACAAAGCACCACGTGAGGTCTGGTTTCCTTTTTTTCAACGACAACCTCTTGCCTGCTAGATTTGCATCTCCAACGGCATTTTTCTTTTGAGCAAAGACAAGACTTACACACGTACAAAAAAGATGACTCATTCACATGAAGCTCTTCAGTACGGCAGGACACCAGGTTCCTCCACATCAATTCTCTTTGCCCTGCTGGGACCTCCAGAGCCCGAAGAGGGTTCAGGCATCTCTGCCATATGAACCTATAGGAATAAGTTTAGTGGGAAAGTCAAATGGCAAGTTACAGGTAGAGCAGCACAAAGTCATGAGAAAGGCTGGAAGGCAGGTAAGCAATTAGGTCAGTTAGCTTGAAGCATGTGGTATGTGAAAAAAAAAAATGTTAGGGATAGCTTTTGCTGCATTCATGATGAGGACGCAGATGGAAAAGTGGGATGAGATGGAGGGGGACAGCAAGGGATGGGAGACCCAGTGTTGGTCCCCTGCTAGTTTTCCTCTAGGTATTTACTGCTTTTCTACATGAGAAAGAGAATTAGAAATGGGCCAAACCCTCCTCCTTGGGGCAGAGGTTTCATACCACCCCAGTGACCTGAACTGTGATGACACCCATGGCAGAGCCCAAGATTCTCTCATAGGAAGAGACAGGGTGAAAGCCCTCTTTTCTCTCAATAAAAAATTTTTAAAAGCTGCCAAGTCTCTACCCTGGCTGCTGTCTGGCTGCTGCCACATTCAGGCAGAGGCAACACCCCCAGAGCAAGCTCCAGAGATACAGAGGCTTAAGTCAATATTGGTGAGCAATTTTTAATATCCATCGTCACTTAAGTGCATTGCTTCTAGCTCCCAGGGTACTATGTAATAAACATTTTTTAAAAATCTAATTATAGCAGAAAATAGCCTAAAAACCATTCTGCTGGGAAAAAAAAAGCCAGGATAGCCATATTGTGGATGGCACATGAGCCTCTGCCGTAGTTCTGCAATGCACGTGGTAGCCCTGTCCTCCGAGGACTTGTTGCACATGGTGCTAAGGCAGCTGGGTGGGTTTCCGGGCACAAGGGACCTGGTGGGATCCACAGTGTAAAGGAAACCAGTGATTCCTTCAGCTGCTCTCATCTGCCTGCAGGAAAAGCAGTGGGGAACGGCTCTAAGCAGAGCTTATCAAAGATTTAAGCTTAAAAATACAGCAAACCTTACCCTGCCCCATATGCGTCTCTTGAAAATCAGCATTTGCACAGAAATATCCATAATTTTCCTCTACCCAAAAGAGCTGAGAGAGAAAAGGCATCATTTTATATGTTCCTGCTCATTTCCTCCTTCTCCTCCCCCTTTCCTCCAGGCCCTTCTCTTCCTTTCCAGAATACTTCTGACACTTATTGGGCAGGGGCAAAGGGGGTCCCTCTCCCCCCCAGCACAAAGACTGCATCGTAACAAGAGAAGAGGAATGGGGGTTTCCCTCCCTCCTGGCCTCTGGGGGAAGGTTTTTGCTGGCTTCAGGGAATGCTGCCCTTGGGCAAGGAAGGGTGAGGCCAGGCTGGAGGGTTTAGAGCTTTCTCCAACCTTATGGGAAGGACCATGAAATGCAGGGAGGAGGGGAATAAAGCAGCATCCAGGCAGAAGTGACAGGCAGAAGCAGGAGACATCCCATGGAGATAAAACAGCCATCAGCAGTAGCTATTCAGGAAAGGAGTTGGATGAGCTTGACTCCCATGTCCGTTGAGAGAGTCACCACAGGATACATCCACCCCAAGGAGCGTCTCTTGATTTGGGTCCCAGAAAGACTGTGCTTTCCTGATTAATGTGTGTTTCATTTACTCTGGATAATTTATTTCGCTTTGAGACACCAGCCCTGTGACAATATTTGATGTTGAATCACTTTGGAAACAAATATAGCTACTTTATCGTTCCCATCTCAGCTCACACACACACTGTTTCTGTCTCGATGCCAGCAATTACAGCAGACCTCAGCAACAACTTTTAAAAATTGCTTATTCCTGAGCTAGAATAAATCCAAATTCCCCATCCAAAGGCATCCACAGAGCTTCTTAAAGAGGCTCAGCTCTTCTCCAATGTGCGGAGGAACTGCTGACCTGTGGGAGGGCTGCTCACCCCATGGATGGTCAGGCCGGTCCTCCTCATCCCCAGCCATGGAAAGTGGGGGCTGTCGCACCCCAAGGCCACACAGCCAGGTGCTTCTCTCACACTCCTTTGTGTCCTTTGCATCCCACGGCAGATCTGGTGCCAGGGACAGAGTACGGCATTGGGATTTCAGCCGTGATGGACAGCCAGCAGAGCGTGCCAGCGACCATGAACGCCAGGACCGGTGAGTTTGGCCCCCTTGCATGCTTCAAGCATCTCCAGCTCCTATGGATCAGACATCCCCACGGGACAGTCCGTGCATGGGGACAAAGGTCTGCACCAACCTTCTCCCACAGAGCTTGACAGTCCCCGGGACCTCCTGGTGACAGCCTCCACAGAAACATCTATCTCACTGACCTGGACCAAAGCCATGGGTCCCATCGACCACTACCGTGTCACCTTCACCCCTGCCTCAGGGATGGCCTCCGAAGTGACAGTGCCCCAGGATGTGTCTCAGCTCACCCTCTCGGAGCTGGAGCCTGGGACAGAGTACACCATCTCCATCATTGCTGAGAGGGGACGCCAGCAGAGCCTGGAGGCCACCGTCGATGCCTTCACAGGTAGAGAAAGACAAGTTGGGATGGGGCCCATGGTTCCACACTGGCATGTGGGCCAGCCCACTGCATCCCCAGCATCAAAATTCTTGAGGTAGTGATGGGGGTGAGAACTGGGGGCAATCCATCCCTGTGGGAGGAGGGCTGTGGAACTTGGAAGAAGGATGGTCCTACCAGTGTGGGGATCCCATTCCCCTGGCCACCCGCACTGAGTACACTTGCTTGGCTGGAGAGTTCCATAAGGAAGAGGCAGGGCTGGAGAACAGCCCGCCCCTGCTGCCTTCTGTGGTCAGGGTGGTCTGTGTGTCCATAAGGAGGAAAAAACAAGCCCTGAGTGACCTCACAAGCACTTCTGGGTGAAAAGCCTGCAGTCGAGAAGCCCAGACGGCACATACCATCTGTAGTGGGACAGCCCCATCACCTACCATATGGGTCTGGGACGCAGTATTTTTGCAGGCACAGCTGAGAAAAGCACTATTTTTCTCCTCCCAGTTCTGCCTCTCAATCCCAGCACAGTTTCAGATCAATGGAGAGCCCAGAGCTGCAGCTCTGCCACCTCTGTTGGGTATTTCCCATACAATTGCTGGGAACAATGCAGAGGCCAGGATCTGCAGACGGTCGGGGTTACAGCTCCCCTCTCCACCTTTCAGGAGTCCGGCCCATCACGCAGCTCTACTTCTCCCAGCTGACATCCTCCAGCGTGAACGTCACATGGAGTGATCCATCCCCACCAGCAGACCGCCTCATCCTCACCTACAGCCCCCGAGACAAGGAGGAGGCACAGCAGCTCACACTCGATGGCACCCGCAGGCACGCCAGCCTGACGGGCTTGCAGCCATCCACCGAGTACCTGGTGTCGCTGGTGGCCATTCACAGTGCTGTCAGCTCTGAGCCTGTCATGGGCTCCATCACGACAGGTACCATGGGACCCCTCTGCCAGGCACAGGACTCCGCCAGGAGGGCAGGCGGGGGGACGGGGAGAGGACTTGCCTCCCACAGCTTTGCTTTCTGCTCCATCTCACCAGGGATCGATGCACCGAAGGACCTCAGGGTGGGCAACGTCACCCAGGAGTCCATGACTGTCTACTGGACCCCTCCCATTGCTGCCTTCGACCACTACAGAATATCCTTCCGTGCCGCTGAAGGTAATGGTTCAGGCCACTCTTGCTCGTGCCCTTAGCTCGCAGCTGCCAACCCTCCCTCCATCTGTGGGCACAAGCAAGCCACCAGGTCATCCTCACTCGAAGCAGCATCCCACTGCCCCGGGAAAAGCCACCAATAGCTGGGAAGGACCAAGAGGCTGCAGGGATGGAAGACAGGGTGTCTGGGATGAGGAAGGGCAAGGACCACTGTAGCGAAGGACCATCTCAACACAGTGGGACGCAGGCAGTGACCCCTTGCAGCGTGCCCTCTCCAGCTATAGTCAATTCAGGGCCCAATCCTGAAATCCCCACCCCTGAACTCATCTGCCTTAGCCCTAGTTTCACCTACAATGCTGAAAAGGTTGAGCCAGTAGGCAAAAAACCAAATTACCCCCACTATCAGCCCTGGAGAGGGCTTGTGGAATTGCCCTCCCCTCCCGAGCACCTCCATGATTTCAAAGCTCTTTCCTATGTCCCCACAGGGAGAACAGACAGCACCTCCATCGCCAGTGATGCCACTGAGTATGCCCTCCGTCGCCTGCAGCCCGCCACCAAGTACGAGATCGGGGTGAAGAGTGTGCGGGGCCGGGAGGAGAGCGAGGTGGCCTCCATCACCGTGCACACAGGTGGGAAGGAGCTCCCTGTGGGCAGGTAGCCATCAAGCAGTGACAACCCCTGCTTGCACTAGCAGTCAGGCAGCTGAGAGAAAGCTGAACCTCATGCCAGCCTGACTTAAGCTTCAGGTCATGAGCAAAGTTCATGAGGGCCCAGTATGGACTTCTGAAGTATGTCTAAGCAAAGTTTTTCCTGTATAGGCATGGGTAGTCATGGGGGAGAGTGATGAATCTGTGTACGGGGCAGAGGGAAGCCAGAGATATGATGTTGGGCAACCATGACAACTTTATCCAAAAGGAATATAGACTTTCAGAAATAATCCCTGGGGAAGCCCTGAAACAAACAGCATCTGCTGCAAGAATAAAACCCTTTGCTATTCACAGTCTCCAAAATACCAAAAAAAAAAAAAAAAAAATATCCCAGGCTGAGCAACAGGAAAACAGTGGAGGAGCAGACCAGGTAGCAGAGTAGAACAAACTATGGTATCTCTGCTCTCTGGCTAGGGCAGCAGTAACTCCTCTGCAAGCACATGCACCTGGGCAGCAAAGCAGGACCATGAGGGATGGATCACAGGAAGCGCTTCCAGTTCATAGACCAGTCTCTTAATGCCTCTGATTCTCTGAATCTGTCCCCTGTGCAGCCATGGATGCCCCCTTGGGGGTCACAGCCACCAACATCACCCCTACCGAGGCACTGCTGCAGTGGAACCCACCGCTGTCAGAGGTTGAGAGTTACGTCCTCATCCTCACCCGCCGCGCAGGTATGCCAAAACCGTGTGCCCCTGTGCCACAAGATTTGCTGAGGCTCCATTTCAGCTCACCTCCACTTCTCCACTATCCCAAAGCCTGGGGCTCATTTTTTCCCCCATGGAGGGAGTAGGGAACAGCCCTTGCTTCAGGAGAGCAGCAGCTGGTGGGTGTCAGAGCTGTACCCCATCCCCAGACACCAGCTTCTCCTGCACATGTTCCATGGCAGTGCCCCTCACCAAGCTTCAGACCACAGCAGTCCATACAGGAGGGGATTAAGATGCCCCAGCTTTATTAATTGGCTCACCAGCAGCAACCTAGAGGCAAGAAAGTACCCATCCCACAGAAACTCAATATGCAGAGACTCCATGAAACCCACTACTGAAGGAAAATAAAGCATTAGGCAAATGCAGGGACTGTGGTAAAAACAATACCATCCTTCAGACCAAACAACACCACTACAGCTCAGCTGCCACACAATAGCTCATAGTGTTTCGGCAGTACAAGTGCTTTTGATCACAAAGTCATATCCACAGACACATTTTAGAGAACCACCAAGATGTGGTAGACGTTCAATCTATCCTGTCATCTCTTTTGGCTTACAGTTGCAGGAGAAACAATTCTTGTGGATGGAGTCAACCAGGAGTACCAGCTGACCAACCTCCTGCCCAGTACAACCTACACAGTCTCTATGTATGCCACCAACGGGCCTCTCACCAGCCAGATTATCAGCACCAATTTTACAACTTGTATGTACAGTCACCTCCCCACTCCCCGTTATGCTCCCTTAGCCATACATCCACCCCAAGAAAAGCACCAGCAAGGTTGAGCCAAAGCTCTTCTCACAAATGTGTGGGTGTAGAAGTAGCCATCTGTCAATAGGACATCCACATACCAGTGTTGGGCACAACACAAACCCAGAATTTTAATCAATCACAAGCATCAACCATCATTTTCACTCTTTCAACATCCATCCACCCTTTTCTTTGATTTCCCCTGGATGTGGTTTCCCAAGGAGACCTTTGACCAGGTCTTTTTCTTAGCCAAGGCCACAGCCCAGAAGAGCATTACAACCCATTTGGCTTGCAAGAAGCTTGAGAGGTCCCACAACACAAGAATTTCAGAGCTGTTACCCTTCAGAGAGCATGCATGTAGAAGAAGACCTTTAGAGGGTTTGCAGAGCTCTGCTCGAGGCTGGGGGCAGGTCATGAGGTCTGGAGCTGAGGGTGAAGATGGACTTTGGGCTGTAGCTCAGGATTGCAAGGCTGAATTCTGGTGCGCTGAGTTGGGGACCAGCTGGTTGCGTGTGAGAACTTGCATTTCCCTGAGTCCCTGTCCATCGTTGCAGTTTTGGATCCTCCAACAAATCTGACGGCCAGCGAAGTCACTCGACGGAGTGCCCTGCTCTCCTGGGTGCCCCCCGTGGGAGAGATCGAGAACTATATCATGACCTACAGATCCAGTGATGGCAGCCGAAAGGTGAGTGTGTCCTCACAAAGAAAGAGGCTCATTAAGTCAAGAAATAACATGACAGTGGAGAAATGAGCAAGAGAAACCCAACAAAGTGAAAGAATGATGCTCACTAGGTCAGGGACAGACCAGAAGGGCAGATGCTACTTTCTGCATAAGCAGTACTTCAGATAAACGTTTGGAAAAAGCAGGGCAAAGTCTTTGTGCACACCTTCAGGTCTGGGCAAAGAGGGCATACTTGGAAAGTTTGGAGAACAAGGAAAATTCACAACTTACGAAACACAAGCAAGCTGAGGCAAGAGAAAATTATCCCACGAACAGTGATGCTAAAAATGTTATTCGCCCTTCTTGCAAAAAGGAAGATAAGTACAGACAGCTAATTAATCCTGCAATACAATATATTTGATTATTTAATGAGTGTGTCCATATCTGCCTGTCTGGAAGAGCTTCTACAAACGCGATCAGAAATATGTCACTGCAAATAGTCTCATTTCTTTTGCCGGTGTGACTGGCTCACAGCAGCCAAAGGATAATAGCTTTGCAGAAGAGGTTCAATATAATGCTATGTGGCATTGGCTGGTGACCAGAAAAATTAACATGACAGGAATTGACAGAGTCAAAACTGGCTGATAAGCACGTTTGGCCAGCTCTACTCCTTGTGATGCTTGGGTAATCTGTCATGCCCTGTACTGAGGGCACGCAGATCTCAACAGAGTTGGTAAATAAAGCACACAGGCTGCAAATATTTAAATCTCTTGGGTCCAAACCAGCTAGGTTTCTCCCACCCAAACCATCCCAAAAGGCTGAATACACCCACTGACTTCATGTTGACTTAGTCCAGAGGCGTAAGCAGGTATGCAACGCTTCTCAGCCAGGCACCAAGGGCTGCGGTAGTTTGTGGCTTCCCTTCCCTCCTCGCTTGCTCTTTAGGCTCCCCATCGCTTTTCTCATCTGTTGCTCTTGGTGTCTACCTCCTTCTGGGACCCATGTACAGGAGCTGATTGTGGATGCTGAGGACACATGGATCCGCCTGGAAGGGCTTTCTGAGACCACAGAATACACCGTGCGCCTGCAAGCTGCCCAAAACACCATGCGCAGTGGCTTCATCTCCACCACCTTCACCACAGGTGAGGACCTGCACCATGTCTGCTTGGCCAGGCAGGACTTAGCCCACATACCATGCTGGTAGAGACAGTGCAGGGCTTTTATGGACTTTCCCTCCTCAGGCAGCATTTCACCATGATCCACAGAGAGGTGCATTCATTCCTACCACCCACAGTGCTGCTCTGCTACAAAAATTTAATGGCTGAAGGTCCCATAGTACAAACACAAAGTGCAGCCCACATCAAGGGGGTTTGAGCTTCAGACCAGGAGCCATCTACCAGGCCCTTTTCACTTGCCCTTGCCCTTCCTCAGATGCACACATAGAGGGGAAAAACCCCACAAAAGTCAACAACACATATCAACAGTTATGGTCGTGGAGTGAGTGTGGAGATACCCAGCTGATGTCCCCATGCTGCAGACATGGTCCGATCTCTCATGAGTATCAAGCAGGTGTATCTCCACCACTGTCAGTGGAGTCACAGACAGCAGAGCCAGCATGCCCACAGGACTGTGGTGCCACCAATTTTATCTAATTGCATTATTCCTGCCTGCTGTAATTCTAGAGAAGTCACGATTCACTAAGGCAACAGGAACAGTTTCCTTTCCAAGTCAAATGGTGGGCATCCACAGCCACCATAATCCTCACAGATGGAATGCTTACACTTGCAAGAATGAAGCTGGCATCAAAATGTCACCATTGCCCCCACACTTTGCAATCATGTGAAGCAGATCTTTTCTCACCCTCTTTGAAAAGCCTTGCTAGGCCAGGGCACTTAACAGACAGAGTGCATTTTGTTCAGGGCTGAATCCAATCACATTTCTCCTGGGCTTCAAAAGCTTTAAGAAACATGAAGATGATGTCCACTGAAATTCCTCCCATCTGCACTGCCAGTTCAATTAGAAGAGTTTTCTTTGTATCTGCTGTGGATACACTTCCCCATCACGGTTACATGCAAAGGTCCCTTCACCTGCTTTTAAGAGACAACAGAAACTATTTATGTCAACTTTTCCCTAATGCATCTACAGATCAGGCTTTCCTGTTATTTGTGCCTCTTACGTGGACACATAAAGCCAATGCAATTCAGGCAGATGATGGAAAAATGCATGTAATCTTTGAGGCTGTTTGGGAGCCAGGGATGAAACTGCACGGGAATGGCTTTTCAGCTAGGATAAAGCAGCAGAAACCCACTCACACCGGGTAAGGAGACCACTGTTTCCATTAAACACAAATATCATACCTCAGCAGCGTTAGAGACACCATTGCCAGCTGATGCAGCATCTGAACACAGGTTTAGTTTGCTTTTAAGATGAAGACAGGCATCAGGAAGAAACCAGTTTCTCCTCACTTACCCCATATATCAATGAGACAGAAGCACCCAGGAGCTAACAGCGAGGCAATGCAATCCAGGGGCAGCATCCCTCAGCAAAGAATAGGGGTCTGGGATTCAATTCACTCTGCCAGCATATCGGGGCGCTTTGCAGAGAGAGCAAGGACTTGTCTTTAAGGAGACCAAAAAAAAAAAAAAAAGGAAAAGAAAAAACAGGCTTAATTTAAATTGTTTTGCTTCCTTCTGCTCACAGTACACATCCCGGGGTTCTTCTATTCCCTCTGACATATTAATAGCTCAGCCTCTTTGTTTCATGTTTGCATAAGGTTCTTGGGGAATTGTATACAGATGGGACAAAAGGAAGGAACAGATACAGTATTTATAATTTATAGTGGTTTGAAACGTCTTTCAAGGTCTCCTTGGCTCTTAAAGATATGAATATAAATTAAGAAACAAGTGATCTCCACAGAGCTCAGGGGAGCCTGAAGTGGTTGTCTTTGAAGCAGTTTTTATTGTTGGATACTATAAAATGCAAACATTGTCTCGCCAGACCTTGCGCTACAGACCATGGAGACAGGAAAAAATAGGGGATCTTCAACATTTGGACAAACCAAGGACCTCTGAGTCTTCAGGTTGCAGGGCTGGAGGGGGATACACCCAAATAGGAAATTACAGACAAGGCTCTGTACCCTGGTCCTACAGGGCATCAGACAGTTGTGATGGACATGCACAGCTCATCCTTCACACCTTCTCAATGTGTAACCGAGACACCCTTCAGAGTCACATCCACATTGCCGGCTCTGCACTCATTTACCTCACCATCCATACACACAAACAACAAAGATGGATTTCCCACTTTTGCATTAAATGAGAAAAAAGATGAACCCAGAGTTGAGACCCCAATACTGCTGAGATCTCATAGTTAAGACTCTCTTAAACTTTCACACCCAAATGAGACGCTTCTTCATTAGAGGACACCGGAAACATGACCACACAGCCCACACTGCCCATCTCTAGCATTTTGCACGGCCTAATTGCTGCTCGGTTTGCAAGTGACAATCAGCCCGGCATATGCTCACCATCATCTCCAAGGGCATGGATCAGGAGACTCTCCCTGCAATCAGTAAATTCATAAAAATGGCTTGGAGTTGGCAATCCTGAGAAGAGAACAGGTTTTGGTATTTTCACAGCTGTCTAAATACACCAGTGACAGCTTAAACCCCAGGGTCTCAGACACGGTGGAGAAAGATGCTCCAAGAAGTGACATACCTCATCATTCATAGTGGTTACTAAGTACCTTTCCAATATAGGACTTACGGGAAATTAATTAATATGTGCACATATTTTTTTTGGCATTAAATCTTCTGATGTTGTTGGCAGATGTAAAGTCCCACTGCCTTGTGGAATAACTCAGGTCACAGAAGATAAGTTGGACCCTTCCTGGGTTCCAACCAGCAGGCCTGGAGACAACTGGAAAGCATGTTCCTCTGCTTAAATTTTGCCTTTTTTTTTTTTTTTTTAAATTTCACAGGTGGACGAGTCTTTGCTAACCCTCAGGACTGCGCCCAGCACCTGATGAACGGAGACACACTGAGCGGCGTTTACACCATCTCCATCAACGGGGACCTCAGCCAGAGGGTGCAGGTGTACTGTGACATGACCACCGACGGAGGTGGCTGGATTGTGAGTAACTGTGCAGTTGCCCTACACATTGTCCCCATCACAAAGTAACCCAGCTTCATTCCACCAGCAAAGCCAAGCACCATGCTGCACAGGAACAACAGCAGGCTTAATATCACACACTTCATTTCCCACGCCATAGGGAATGGCCCACGCTCCAGTAATAATAGTTACACTTGGAGAAAGGCCCTTTGATTTATGTGACATGTTTGCAGTGCTTCTGGAGAGCAAAATCTGAGAGTGAAGATGATTTATTGTTCTAGAAATGAAATTAATGGCCAATAGCTTTCACGGGGAATGATTCACACTGCCTGCAGTAGGAGGGTGTCAGGCATCATCCCGATTGAGTCTGCACAGGAGCATTTTAGAGGCAAATGCCTGTTTGGCTTTTGGATTGCACAAACACTGCTTGTCCTGACATAGATGGACTGACAGCTTAAGTAAATAATGCTCTGGTGCTTTGATTTTATTCGTGTCAAACGCTTACTTACACGCATTACACAGAAGTCTGCTAGTTGTATAATCGAACAAAAAAAAAAAATGGGCTTACTCAAATGCTGATTTCTAGTATGGACATTATTTTAGCCAGGAAATTTCCCTCCATCTCACTCTGCCTCAGAGCATCCCCTTGGATATCCCAGAAAGAGACAGCCAAAAGCAGAATCACATGCTAGAAAACCAGAGGCAACATGCGTTGGGCAGAGCAGAAAGCCTGAAGGCTAATTCCTTCCTATTATAACATTGATTTGCCTTGGACATCATCTAACATCTCTTCAGTTTTTCCACCTGTACAGGTATTAATTGCATGGCTGCAATTAACACTAAGCACTGCAATTTTCTCCCCAAAAGGTGTGATGGAAAGACAAAGTATTGTGTTTATTTTGTGTGCCCCAAAGCCTATCAAGGCCGCCCCTCTTCTCCTTCACACTGATTTTCCCCTTGGTCTTCCCCCATCGCAGGTCTTCCAGAGGCGGCAGAACGGACTGACCGATTTCTTCCGGAAATGGGCAGATTACCGTGTTGGCTTTGGAAACTTGGAAGATGAGTTTTGGCTGGGTAAGAGCTTAACCAGTCTTTCATGAACTCATCAAACCCAAGATCCCTGTACACTGTGTTGCTCACCTGTGCCAGCTGTTGGCTCTCGCCTTTCATCCCACTTCTCTATGCTCTGCCTTGGATGGATTTCCTTCCCTTGTTCATTCCCTTCCCTGTACATTGGAAAGTCACTCATGGACACATCACATGAAAACACATCATGAAGGCCAGCAGCTCCCTAATTTGCTCCTCCTAGGAGAGAAGGGTGTACACTGCCGGGTCTTCATGGACTAAAACCCATCATCCTCCCTTGAAGGACTACAGATTGCATTGTGGCATCTACAGCTCATGGACCTCACCTGGCCTTGGCCAGCATGCCAGTTGCACAAGGAAAGTAGGAAGGGGGTGAGCGGGAGACCCGGCATGGCTCTGAAACAGTGTGCTCCCCCAAAACCTGAACGTGAGGTGAAGCCTGCGTGGGTGCAGAGAGCTCAGTCCCCACCAGTGCCAGGAGAGACAAAGACCTAATGAGCAGCGCTGTTTCTCTTTGGTCCTCTCCTCATTCTCATTTCCCACAGCTTTTTATTTGCCTAGAGCTTGCTTTGTTTGCTCACGGAGCGGATGCAGACACCAGGTCTCACAGTGCGTCTTGCTGCTTGTCTCACCAGGCTTGGACAACATCCACAAGATCACATCCCAAGGGCGCTATGAGTTGCGAATAGACATGAGGGATGGTCAGGAAGCGGCCTACGCCTACTACGACAAGTTCTCCATCGGCGACTCACGGAGCCTGTACAAGCTGCGAATTGGGGACTACAATGGCACTTCGGGTACAACCTCATTGCTAGGAAGTCATAGGGAAATCCTGGGACCGGTGGGTCTGAAACTGTAAAGGAAATCCTAACATCAAAGCCTACTTGTCTGGAGCAGCAAGACACAAACCCAAAGCCCTTTCTGCCTTCCTGCCATCCATCATGTAAACCAGGCTGATAAATCCCACTAAGGACACAGGGAATTTTCCATTGGGGATTAGATATTTAATATCAAAGGCATTGCTGTTCAAATAACCAGGTCAGTCATCAGAGGTGTCATCTCTCTTGGCAATAACCACAGCTCACTATTGATGCCATGCTGGAGGGTGTATTTACAACCCTCCTACAGCAATGGAAAAAATTGAAGTCCCCTGCATCATTTCCTCACGCAGAGGCCAAACACAGTCTGTTTTTGCAAGGACAGTCACACCTGCTTGCTCAGTTGATGCAGCAGCAGTAGGCTTTGCCCACCGGGAGAGAGGGGGTTATGGATGGAGGGCACGGGGGTCTCTTCTCCAAGAAGAGGGAGAGGGGAACAGCTGCAGACCCTTTAGCTGGGATAGACACACCCAGTGCAAGCCTCCATGATCCAAACAAAACACTGCCATGTACTTAGTGAAGAGCCTTATACCACATCTACAATGCAGGAATTTTCCTATACAATATCTGGTAGTTGCCACTGGAAGTGACAGGGATCTTGGTTGTGTGCAACACAGCACTTGCTCTGACCTTAAGTCCCAGGGTACAAAGCACCCAACCTATGGCCAAAAATGCCAGTTACACTGCTGCAGACACAACTGACTCCCCTTCCCCATGCAAGCTCTTCTAGCCAGCCAACCGAGGAGCCTCTGTTCCACCTTGAGCAGAGAGAGCCAAGACTCACCAAGTAGATCATTGCCAAGAGCCTTGCTAGCAAGCACTTCGGTGGCTGGACTGCACCCAGCTTGCATGTGCCCACTCTGTATTTTAGTTAGGGACCGTTAAGGAGCATACTAAGAATGCTTCCTCTAAGTACATCACTCAATTGTATTAATGACCATATTTCTCTTCAGCTCTTCTTTCACCCACGAGCAACTCACTCACTTGTTCCTTAGTAAGGAGGGGAGATGAGGTCGGTGGTTTTGAGGGAAGAAGACATCACGCACTTTCCAAAAGCTTCTTCCCCCATCGAAAGGGAGAAAAGGCAGACAAGCATCTTGATTCCAGACACAAATGCTTGGCCTCCTCTGGGAGAAAAAGTTATTTTTGGCTAACAGGAGGGAAGGAGGCTGAAAGCATCCTGAAGTTATGTAGCAGATCCAGGCCTCAGGAAATCAGGGATGCCCAAATCTAGGATTTAATTAATTTCTGAAACTCTGAACTTCAGATGCAAAACCATGTAGCATCTTATCTACCAAATCCAAGCAGCCTCTAAGATCTGGATGGTGTGTACTGATCCTAAACCAACAGGAGAGGACCTCAGGTGAATCAATTGTGAGCAATTCCAGCTAGCATTATTCCTAGACCTTCAGCTGCTTGAGCTGTTGATTGACAGGCTAACACATATACCAGAGTATCCTAATTTCCTTGTGAAAAGACCAGATGACTCAGGTTTCATCACTCCTAATGGCACCTCTTTCCACAGGGGATTCCCTCACCTATCACCAAGGTCGTCCCTTTTCCACCAAGGACCGGGACAACGACGTCGCTGTGACCAACTGCGCCATGTCCTATAAAGGGGCCTGGTGGTATAAGAACTGCCACCGCACCAACCTCAATGGCAAGTACGGAGAGTCCCGGCACAGTCAGGTAAGGGCAGAGCTGGGCTGAAAACCTTCAAGTGTTTCTTCTAGCAGCGTGACCATGCACGACAGCAAGCCCAAGCTAGCGCTGGGGTGCGTGGTAGGTGCGTAAGGGTCAGGAGCACTGCTGGGGTGACCCAACACAAGCTGGAGCGAAGGGAACCAACCACCTGTGAGCCATTTGGGGTGGTGCTTCCTGCCTCACACTGACTGCCATGGTCATTTACCTTGTTAAGTTACACTTTAAAAAAACACGTACATAAAATTTGATCGGGAGCCTTTGAGCAATGGGAAAAACCCATAAAGCCAGGGCAGCAGAAGTGCTTCTTGCTCCCACTGGAGCAAGTCCTTCTTTCTGGCTTCTCTACGGCAGTCAAGATCCTTTCCTTCCTCTCTCACTCTAGTTTCATGTTAGGGTGTTTCTTTACCCTGTGCCTTTCTCTCCCTCTTTCCAGGGGATTAACTGGTACCACTGGAAAGGCCACGAGTTCTCCATCCCCTTCGTGGAAATGAAGATGCGACCCTACAACCACCGCAACATCTCTGGGAGGAAGCGACGGTCTCTACAGCTCTGAGCCAGCTGAACCCCCTCCCGCCTCCCATCACCTGACCTTTTCTGTCATTTGTTTGTATTTTATAATATGAAAAGGGAAAAAAAAAATACTACTCGTCTGAGATAGCAACCTGCCCCTCACAAGTGCTGGAGGGTACCACGGCATAAGAAAAGGTTGTGGGCAAGGAAAGACATCATGCTTTGCATCTGTCCCAGAGAAATACCAAATTTCCAATCTCCCTGCCCCAATACTCTGGCCCTTAACATAAGAAGAAAGAGACAGACAGATTTTTGATATTTTTTTTAAAGACTTAGAAATCCCCAGCAAACCCTGGTAGAAATGTTTGTCACGGGGCTTATGGCAGAAACTTTCCCCACAGGGACCGTAGTGTGGCCATTTCCACCCCAGTCAGGCCACGGACACCTGTCCTCTCCTTGCCTCCTGTCCCCTCTTGGCAGGGAGGTGCCAAGCTTCATGCCATCCTGTAGACACCAACTCTTTCAGCAAGCAGAGGCCCATCTCTCCTTCTGGCCAAGAGCACACAGCCTGGTCACCCCTCCCCTACCTGCAGGCATTGTACAAATGGGGACAGAGCAAGGATGAGAACACACAAGGCTCACCCCATCCCCAGTTCTCACAGATCACACCAGGAGGGCTTCGTGAACATCTGCAAGTGTAGGCGAACAATAGAGAACCCACAGCTCACGTGTTGACCCCACCACAGCCAAAGTCATCCTCGTGTATATGGGGTGCAGGAGAACAAGACCTGCTCCACAAGCTCCCGCCTGCATCATTCACTCCTCCAAGCTGAACTCATTCCACTTTAGATGCATGTCGTCTGCCTGGGTTATGCTGAGCTTGATGAAGAAGAAAGAAGTCAAATTAGAAGACTTGTGAGAAAAATCTCTGCTTGTGGTCTTGAAGTCTAGGGCCTGTTTCCTCTGTTCTTTCTCTATGCCACCACGCTGTCTCTCACAGAGGTCATTGGTCCCAAACCAAAAAGTCTCAGAGAAGGACAAGCAACCACATAACCACAGCCTGGATGGCAGCCAGCACAGCCCAGGTGCTCTTGTTCAGGGACCTCCATGCACACAGGGAAGGATGATAACGCAGCCAAGGAAAGACAAGTGCAAGCTGAGAAACATCCATTCTCTTCCTTCTACGTCATCCCTCTTCACCACCACCACAAGAGGGACACAAATCTCAGTGCCTTGGTATCACCATCTCTATAATGGGAAATCAACTGTTTCCCTACCAGAAGGAAGGCTTAGTGCGTTCAGATTTTGGAGCACTTCAAGACTCTTGGAAAAATAGATGAGTTTGCTTTTCCCATCCTTAACTCTCTGCATGACGTACCCTTCAGACAGCTCTGGCTTTCTCTGTTGTCACTGATACCACCTCCATGTAGCCCAAATAACCACCATGTTGGAGTCACTTCTCTGCTGAGTGCTCTGATCAGTGCTGGGCATTGTCTCTGGCCTGCTCTCAGAGAAGGGACTCAACCCCATGTCCAAGGACAATGCAGCTCATCACTTGGTCCGCAGCCAAGGGAGCGTCACAAATGCTAAACATTGCTTTTTGATTTTATCACACTGAAGCAGCTTTGTCTCAAGAAACATCTTCCAGATGGCAACATAAAGGCATCTTTGCAGCAGCTTACAATTCAGGCCAGTGTCTCTTCCATGGTCATGCTCCTGGGTTTTCTGACATTACCACGGCTGCAGAGCTGAAGAAGGGCATTAAGGGGGAAATGCAGCCTCATCGTCCATGCCACATATCAGCACACAAAATCATAGCTAACCCCCAGGTCAGTATTAGACACAGGCTCCAGCCCTCCAAGTGGTCATCTTGCAAGCTGCAGTCCGACCTGGAGGAAGGAAGCTTAGCTCAGCAATATCGCATACGTAAATGAGGCATTTCTTATTTTGCATCAGTATCAAATCAGGCAACAAGTCAGCCAGTTGAGGAACAGTCAGAGAGGCTACAGACGATGGGATCTCTTGCAGGACATGGCCAGTGTCATGGACAGCAGCACATCACGCCTCCCAAGCAACCCACCCTATTTTAGGTACCAAAAGCCAACAAGAAGCAGCAGATAGAACTGGTTAAAATGTAAGAAGCCTCCCAGTAGACCAGCAGAGTAATACGTTCCCCAACATCACCAGGAGTTCATAAGCAAGAAGTGTCCTAACAAAAGCTCTATAGCGCAGCGGTTATAACAGCAGCACAGATTTGCAGTGGATGGCATTCATTGCCTGTCTTGGATGGTGCTGTTTTCTTACCTACCCAGGTGAAAAGAAGAGACGTCAGAGGAAACACAGGAGCTCATCATTCACAATCAAGCAAAAGGCAAGAAATTCTCTTTTCAAAAGTATAAGTCAAACAGAAAATCAAAACATGCCAAGCTTTTCCAGGAGGTTCAAAAGAAGATTCTCAAAAAGACTGATTATTCTTTAAATGCATTTCCTGATGTACATGTCTCCCTCCCTGCTCATGTCTGTCACCACTTTTATAAGTCCTGTAACTGGGATGAGAGAGCCTGATTAACACAAGCCCATCACTGAGTCTGAAGGACACCTTTGGAAATAATACATGACCTTGTGCTGCCATTATATACCAATTCTGGTCCCTGAACCAGAATTGTCTTTCCATTACCCTGGTGAAACACAGTTGCTAAAATCTTTCAAAGGAAAGATATCTTCACATGGGGGTTTTGTTCTCCTGGTGATAACCTAACCCAAGCCTAGGCACACAATCAGCAACAACGACCCAGTGGTTTGGACCACTGTCCCTTGTTCACATTACCCTGTACAAGATACAATTTTCCAGAAATTTGTTTTTCTTCATTGCGTGATAACTTTTTTTGCACAAAGTTTCTGCCAGCAGTTTCAAGCAAATTTGTGCTTAATATCAATGCTACAGAATGGCCAAATGATTAAGTCCAGCCTCCCTTCACCCTCCATCACTGGTCTGGCAAGCCCTTTTTCTGAATTCATTCTCCAGCCAGAGCAAGTTTGGCCCTGTCCCCCATCAGCACAGCATTCAGACAGAATGAAGTCTTGGCAACAGGCACGAGATTCCCAGAAATCCAGCCTGCATCCTGCGCAATATTCATCTCAAGAGTCCTTGGCACCAGCACAGCTCTGGTGGCTTCTCTGCCATCCAGCTTGTACGGCCCAGGCTTGCCTCAGACCCCAAAATGAACCTGAAGCTGTTACTGAAACCACACTATCCACTGCAAGATGCCAAATACCCTAACATCAAGCAGGGAGAAGTACGTCAGGTCCTTCACCCAGCAGAGAAGCAGGGGTGCGCAGGATCAGCATAGCCTTTCAAAACCACCCCTTCTTTCAAACCTCAAAATCCTGGAAGGAAACATCAAGAGACTTTCTCATCTCTTGCCCAAGTTTGATTTCCCTCTGTTTCCATTCCTGCCAGACCTTCAAGCCCACCTTCCCACTGCACCAAAATGTAACCAAAGGGAAAAAAAACCCACACCTGAAAGGAAAAGCTGCTTTTAGTAAAATGATCCTTAAGACAGCATTAATTACCAATCTGGGGAAGGAGAGAGGCCAGGCTCTCCACAAAGGTAGTCAGGTTTTGGCAGAAGGATGCTGGAAGAGTGTCAGAGCCACACAAATGTTGGGGAAAAGCCTCTGCTTCTACTCCTGATCTTTGCATTACTTTACCGTGGGCATCTCAAAGCATAGTACCAGCCTAAACGCCCTCTTAGCTCCTTTCCATGTGATGCTCACCCTGGGTGAAGCACTGCAGCAGCAGAGGGCTAGAGCAATGGTGTCCCTGTGCCAGAGTGCCCTGTGCCAACAACAGGCTTAGTGACCTGCTGAAATACAGCAGGTGTCAAAATACCCACTCAGCGCCAGCACATGCCCTTCATCCTGACCCACCAAACCAAACTGAGACCCTCTGGGACATCAGTACCCTTTGGGGTCACTTTTCCCCTTCCTTAAACCTGATGGTGCCCAGATGGTGGTGGCAGCTCCTTGTCCCTTCCAGGAGAGAGGTTTGGGGTAAGGAGGAGGGAAAGGCTCTTCCCTGGGGAGATGTTATGTTGATTAAACATCCTAGATGTTGGGATGCCCAGACCCACCTCGGTACCCAGCCTGCAGCTCTCCAGGTGTCAGTGGTTTCTCAGAAGGATGGTGACACAGAGACATAACAGACAAACAAGCAGCACCCTGTGTACAGGTGTTACCCTGAAATTGTGTTCAGTACTTTTAAAAAAATTTTAAAAATAAATAAGAAGGAAGAATGGAGGCAACATAATCCCTTGGACAGGTTCTAATGAACTCAAACACAAACCAACGCAACCAAATGAGGGGGAAGATAAAAGGAGATAAAAGCATAAA